CAGTGGTGGTCATCCGTGGTCTCGGTGTATGAGTTACGTAAGTAATGCTAGGCGTGTGTCCGGCCGTTACCGACAATCGGTACGTCTGGTGGCCATCGGTGTGGCCGTGGGTTCGGCAGTACTGGCCATTGACTCCATTTACCGGCGTTTGAGTCTTAAACTCAAAGCCAGGCGTCAGTTGTCTTCGGCCGCAAAGATTATAGCGGCTGAAGATGTGCCACAGATTAATGCCTCCAGAAGTGTGAGTATTTCAGTGGGTTTTCATAACATTACCATTAAGTCTGGGATTTGATTGCAATCTATGTGTTGATTAGTGACCAAATGGACCGCTAATTAGGGTTTCCTTCACACCATTCACACCGCTATCGTATTCATGCTTTCATTGTCTCTTTATTTGTATCTAATCTATAGTGACACTAATCTTAAGCTAATCCATTACTAACATTATCTAAGATTAGTTTCATAAATTGTATATAGTTAATGTAATGAACATGATGCATTATATTCAGTTTCCTTGGTGCATAATTCAATTCTATTATATTTTCCATTTGCTATGCATTATACTGTGTATATTGGCCCCCCTTTAGCCCCCTTATAATGCCACCACTTTAAAGTGATGTCAATTTTATTATAAATTGTATAAAACAAGTGTTTTGAATGTTTCGGTCGAAAGTGATAAATTGTAAGCATTTTGGATATTAGTAATTTATCATGTTACGTAATGATAAATCTAACAATATACCGGTATTTATTACGTTGACTTATTAGGTGTAACTTTTGATGTAGGTGCAGTTTCCTATACTGGTTGTGGTCGACCCTAATTTAACGGTTCCATTGCTTGCCGTCAATTATATGTATTTTAATCTTTCACTAATCACTGTTAACCCCTTTCCTTTGCATTCACTGAATGGACTAACATTTTATGTGTAAAACATCTCACTTTTGAATGTTTTTTGCACTTTTGATATCATTTCTAATGTATGTATTTTTTTATAAATCCTTATTTTGAATGTTTTATATTTAATTCATTTTAAACCAATTTTTATTACTGTATGGTATTTTATTTTATTATAATTGTAAACATTATTGCATTATAATATTGATTAAAAGTTGCATTAATTTAGTTAGAAATTAATAGTTTTGCAAAACATAATCTATATTATCTCAGGTGACGGGTCCCACAAATTTGGGAATGACATTCACTCTATACCAGTACCAGTCGTGTCCCTTTTGCTGCAAAGTGAGGGCTTTTATGGATTACTACGGAATACCATATAATGTGGTGGAAGTGAATCCAGTGATGAGACAACAGTTAAAGTTCTCGAAGTATCGAAAAGTGCCAATCCTTCTGATCCAGAAGAATGGAGAGTCAGAAGTGTTGGTCAGTATTTAGTACTGGTGTTAGACATTGAGCGCTGAATTAACGCTTGGTTTGAATGATTAGCAAATAAACGATTCGACGACAATAGTGTCGGCGCTGTCCTCATACCTGATCAGCCGAAAGCCGGACTCCCGACACGCGGACAAATCGCTGCAATCGATCGCTCAGTGGTATCACGAGAAGGAAGTGATGAAAGAGGACGGCGTCAAAGCCGATGAGATTATTAACAGATATTTCCTAATGTTTGGAGACATTGCCAAACAAAAACTCGATACCATTGAGGGCTCAGTGGGCGAAGAGCGCAATTGGAGGCGTTGGGCGGACGACCACTTCGTGCACACATTGTCTCCTAATATCTACCGCACTGTCGGCGAATCGATGCAAGCGTTCCGCCATTTCTCTGAGATCGGGGAATGGGATCACAATTTCAAAGTGTGGGAAAAGTATTTGTGCATATATTTAGGCTCCAGTGTTATGTATTTGATTGGGAAGAGACTTAAAAAGAAACACCACTTGACTGATGATGTGAGGGAATCGCTGTACCACTCGTCCAGACATTGGCTCAAAGCCATCGGTAAAGATCGCAAGTTTATGGGCGGAAACACTCCTAATTTGGCCGATTTGGTCAGTAATCGACAATTTCTCGGATGAATTTTGTTATAATTTTGACATTCAATGCATTTTCAGGCCGTTTATGGAGTTTTGAATTCAATTGAAGGCTGCGATGCGTTCACTGACTTGTTAGAGAAGACTCGCATCGGTTTGTGGTATTATTCCGTACAAGAGTTGGTCAGAAATAAGGCCGGAGTCCATGAATTAGAGTATTTGAAAATCAATGAGTAGTTTTTTAAATACTGTATAATTTTTTTGATGCTTAATATAAACCGATCGTTAGATTATGTATAAATAAAAACAATTAATTTTTGTTTATTAGTTTTTATTGTGTATTAATTTTAAATTAATTAAAAGAAAATGAATTCTTAACTTATAAAGATTATTTTTTTTACAAATTACGGTATTACCGTGTGAAATTGCTTAAAATACCGCTATGTGTGGACTCGACATAATTATAGTAAGTGGTGGAGCCCTGTGCAAACCCCCTCACCCTCTAAGAGGGCAGCTTTTCTAACACATAATTGGTGACTTCAAACAAATAATAATATTTGTCGACCACTTGTTTGCGAGTTTTGTCGTTTTGGCAAAACGGGTACAACTTTTGACAACTGGCACATGAGTATCCGGCGCCCAACTCGCGGCCCTTTTCGATGGCCTCCAACACGTAAGTTACATAATAGTCGTCCGTCGGATAGGTATCGAAATAACTGTTCGCCACTTTATTCACCTCATCATTGCATGTTGTTTCACACATTACTTGTGCCGTGCATTCAGTCAAATCGTTTTGAAATCCTTTGAAATCATGGGATAATTTAATGTAAGAATCATTTCATAATTAAACAGTGATTCATAGGAATTGTCAGACAGAAACTTACTGTTACCGGTAATACCTATACATAATTAGGTTATCATGTACTCTTAGAATTTATATGTGCTAGCCATTACAGGCATAAATTTTCAGTTATATAACAATTTAATACAAAATTAAAAGATTTTTATGTAATTTATACTTATAAGAAAGTAATATTGCTATTAATAAAGGTGTAAAAAATAATATACTGTACCTTTATACTAATTTTTAAAATATAATAAAATTAATTTCAATTCATAACGTTAGGAACAAATATTTAACAAACACTTATCAAATAGTTTACATAATACAATATTTATTACTAAATTATTGTTAATGAGATATTTGGTTAATAATCACTTTATATTTAAATTGTATGTAATTTTATACTTGTTGTGAGAATTCAAACTATAATTGGCTGAAGAGATCTCATCAAAAAAAGGTGAATGTATTGTATTATTGATTACACGTTTTCATTAACAAACACTCAAATTCTGTATGCAATGTACTATAAACTACATTATTTAATAAATAAGTTATAATCATTTATACTACTTTATATAGTTATTATAAATAACTAATAAAACTTACCAATGGTTAAGAGTACCCTGAATATAAGATTCCTACCGGCCCTCTGTTTGAGAGCAGTGGCCCCTAAGCTTCTGATGAGCGCATCCTTTCTGTGAGGATAGGATCTAATCCTCTCCAACGACTCCTCCAGAGGTATCTTAAGAGTGGTCGCGTGGCCCGCATTCAGTCGTTTGATGGGCACATCGGCCTCGGGGTCTAAGAGGGAGCCCCGACCGATAGTACCCGTCTGTTTCACATTCACTATAATAACCGTAACTATTGCTATGAGTACGACGTCTTTCATCTTAATAATAATCGACACAAAACATAATAATTGTTCATAACTTGGTGTTTGGATTCCCTATTAATCCAAACCCTAACGTGTCGTTTGGTGAGAGAGAAGTTCTCGTTGTTTGAGACAAATGTATTCAATCGTACGGCTTCTCACACACCAGTAGTAGTCTGTATCGCAATTAATGTTGATTATAGTGAAGCCTTTTCGTTAGCACACAATTGTTTGCACATTTTTGGGCAAAAGTCGCATTTTTATCCTTCAGACCGAAAATATTTCCCGTTCTCGCTGTCTGTCCTTCAAAACAAATTTTTGACAAATTTTTTAAGTAAAAATCCTTTTTTATACTCAGTTTCTAATCGCATATAATGTGAAATAGATTTTTGTAAAATGTAAACTAAGTGTGTGCTAAATATCAAGGATTTTCGTGCAATTACTTTGCGTTAAATGTCTTTTTAGGTTTGAATACGAGCTTAGGTTTGCGTTAATTTAGTTTCAACACAATAGAGACCTTTTGCTTCCGTTAATGAAATAAAGTTATATTTTTACGCTTTAAAGAGTTTTTAAAAGAAATATTTTTTCATTTCAAACAAAGAGATCTGTTTTATATTTTATAAATAAATTATATCTACCGAAAACCTTTAGAAATTGATTTTATAATTACTTTTGTGCAATAATTCGGGTTTTATTCATAATTTACATAATGTTTTTAAGAAGGATTTGTCATTAAAAGTATATTACAAGTTTATTATATAATATAACTTTTTTGGCTATAATATTGCACTAATAGCCGGCAAATAGGAAATAAGATTTAAGAAGGTTTTCAATAATAAATTCAAGAATAAATAAATTATTGATTATGGTAATTTAACATTCGTTGACTTTTATTAATGTCCACAATTTTGGCTGTTTGTAAGGATTTGAATAAATATCAAAATTATTTAAAAATTAGATATTGATTGGTAAAAGTGATCATTAAGTTTAGCACTGAATTATAAGTACAGTAATCTTATAGCATACATGTTATTTATTTGGAAATTTCCTTACAATCAAATTGGGATATAATAATTGATTCATTTGGTCAACATGATAAGTTGGACATTGCTACTTTTGAATTTACATCTAATATAAGGTTCATTAATACTTTATTAAATGAGTTATATTTATTGAAAATTTATTAAAAGATGTCGAAAATTGCATATACAGTAGATATTGAGCTGTAAAACATGTATCGAAATCCCAAAATCATAAGCTGTTGTTTTGCAAATTATTTTGATGAGTACTTTAAATAAAAAGTCATTAATTTACTCACAGTAAATTACTGTATATTTAAAGTGCAATTTAAAAAAAATAAATACTGTATTTACTTTTGAATAGAAAACAATACGTGCTTAAGAAGTGATTCACAATTTGTAAATGAAGTTACATTTTAACAAAATATCGATTTAAAGCATTCATTTGAGTGTCATTTCTGAGAATCTGTGATATAAGTGCAATACTTGTGTGCATTAATTATTTAGTAATTTAATTTCTATTTAGTTTTAATGTATAAATACAAAATTATTTAGACTTTATTATAAATATCAAGCTATACTCGTACTCTATCTGTGTTACTAATATTAATAATAAAAATAAATAAGTGGACAAATATTTTAGTGACATATCATCACCGGTGAGCACATGATAATGATCTGTCCCATACAATTGAGGACCAATTGGTTTCAACCAAATGCAATACCCGTGGCGTCTGTCAGACTTGAGCACAATTGGCTCATATGTCGACAGATTATTGTATTCGCCGGCAATATATTGAGTCTCATTTACGGCCTAATGATTGTGGTTGTGTTGAATTGGTTGGACACGGAATCGGCTAAACAGTTGCCCCATTTGGCCAAACACCCCCTCGACAGCGACTATTGGACCGCCTATTATATAATCGCTTTCTCTCTCATCGGAAGCATTTCAATGATTATCAAAAGGTATTCAATCCTTACTGTTATCTATATTTTCATCTAACCATTCAAAGCAAATTAGGCCACAAATTAGTTGTTATATTTGTGTATGCTAGTAAATTAAATTTTTAAAGTAAAAACTTTATTTCCGAGTATTATAATAGATAGATAATTTATTATATAAGTAATGCATAACTTGCAAAACTATTAAATTTGTGTTTATTGTTTAAAATATTCCTAATGACAGACTGATTGTCTGAATATTGCAGACTGCATGACTCGTATAATAGGTTTTAGTGATAACTAGATATATTTGACAATAATCATTGAAAAGTCAGTTTTCATACACAAAACATTTATTGAGGAATAAATTATTTAATTTTATGGTAATTAACTAACTTAGTACCGTACAGTACTTATTTTATTATTTACTGTCGTACAAAGCAAGTTAAATTAAACCGTACTAATTAAGCAACAAAATTAAATTATATTTTTGAATAAGATAAATATTAATTTGGTATCAAAGCACTGTAATTAATGCCATTTACTACTCGTATATTGAACGTGATAAGTAATTTCGGGGCGTGTTTGGACGCTTTATTCATGGACTTGGATGATAGAAATCAGGATAACGAGAACCAGAGGGACATACAAATTATAAACACTGAACACAACTCGCAAACACTTTTGGACGAAATGATAGACCACTTGAAGATGAAACTAACTTTACTGAAGAATTGCTTGAGATATGGTCCGGTGCTCACGTTTAACGTATTACTGGCGCTGATGATCATACCCTATGAACTATCAATAGCTAAGAGTGGTGTGACATATTGTCTCGAGAATTGTTCCCAACATTGGATCACTGCTCAGCAGAAGAAGAATTACGTACTGCTTATGGATCTGTGCCTAACGGTGCTGGTCGTGTCGGTCATCTTAATTCAATTGTGTGTTATTGTGTATAATTGCGATCTCATAAAGACATCGATTGACAAGAAGTCATTTGTCTCGCGATTCCGTCGTATACTCCACCGCATGAACACCAACGCCGTGTACGCCAGTAGTCGTGGCAATAAAGATGAAAGTCGTATGAGGAATGCCGTCGCCCAGAGACACAAGAATATTATGTTTCACCACTTTTTAGCCCAAAACCAGAACAGTATTCAAACGAAAGCCAAACAACTTGAAGGGAAAGTTGAAGGGAAAGAAGAGTTGGTTGAGAGACCGCACTCATACTCCCGGTCCTCAACGATCACGGCGTCTGAGGCGGCTCACTGTTCCACCTCTTTTAGCCACAGCCCTACGGATGCCGGCGCTGATCGGGCTGTGTATGTCTAAACATAAGTACCGTATTTGTCGCTTATATTGAGTTTAATATTTTGCCAAAAATACATCAAAATGTGATAACTATTCTTATGTACAAATATTAATGCTTTTTAAAACTCAATTTTCAAGATTCTATTGATTTTAAATATTTATTTCAAAAATAATGATACAATTCGAAGACAAAGGATAATTAATTGTAAACACAAATCTTTGAGAGCTAAGCAAAATTATTTAAGTTATTAAAAAATTAAAAAATTTAAACTCTATTTCAATTTAATTTCTTTTCAAATCAGTTATAAATATCTAATATATTATGAAAAAATATTCCAAAAAATAAATGAATTATTGATTCAAAAGTAATTATGAATTATAGCGAAGACTATTCTTTATTATAGGATAGCATTGATTTCGAAACGAAAAGCGATTACAAAAAAAGTTTTAAATTATCGTAAAATCCATTGGAAACAAGTAATAGTTGCATGAATTCTACTGCTCCTCCTCGGGCTGGTCCTCTTCAATGATCTCATCGGTGGCTGCGATCACCTCTTCGTCCGCTTCGGCATTCTCTTCGTACGTCTCGATCGAGTGATTCGTAAGCATATGTCGGCGCAAATGATGGCCGCGAGTGAACGCCTTCTCACAGCCGACCACTTCACACACGAA